GTGTCCACCGGGACAAATGTGCCAAGACCGTGAGAACGAAGTGGTGGAAGCTTAAAGGGGAAGCGGTGCAGACGTTTAGGGATAGGATGCTAGGCGAGGGACCTTGAGAAGAAGGAGAAGATGCATAGGGTCAGACCTATGATGACCTTTATCAGCGCCTAGGCACGAAGGAGGGGGAGAAAGACATTTATAGGATAGCTAGGATTCGAGAGAGGAAGACAAGGGACATCAACCAAATCAAATGCATCAAGGATGGGTCGGATCGACCACTGGTGAAGGATGGGGAGATCAAGGACAGATGGCGAGAGTACTTCGACAAATTGTTTAATGGGGAGAGTGAGGGTCCTACCCTGGAGTTGGTTGACTCATTTGAGGATAACAATATACGCTTGGTGAGGAGAATTCGAGAGGCAGAAATCAGAGAGGCTATGAAGAGGATGAAGGGAGGTAAAGCAATGGGCCCTGATTGTATCCCCATTGAGGTGTGGAGATGCTTGGGTGCCAGAGCGTTAGTATGGCTAACTAAGCTTTTTAATCTCATCTTCCAGTCAAACAAGATGCCTGATGAATGGAGGAGAAGTACTTTAGTACCGATTTTCAAGAACAAGGGTGATGTTCAAAGCTGTGGTAACTACCGTGGGATTAAGTTGATGAGCCATACGATGAAGCTATGGGAGAGGGTTATCGAGCATCGCCTACGACGAGTGACGAGTGTGACCCAAAACCAATTTGGGTTTATGCCTGGAAGGTCGACCATGGAGGCGATTTTCCTAATACGACAGTTGATGGAGAGATATAGGGACCAAAAGAAGGACTTGCACATGGTCTTTATCGACCTTGAGAAGACCTATGACAGAGTACCGAGGAATGTCATGTGGTGGGCCTTAGAAAAGCACAAAGTCCCATCTAAGTACATTACCCATCAAGGATATGTACAAAGATTCGATGGCGTGTGTCCGATCATGTGAGGGCGATACCAGCGACTTTCCAATTAAAATAGGACTACACCAGGGGTCAGCATTGAGCCCTTATTTATTTGCCTTGGTAATGGATGAGGCCACAAGGGACATACAAGGTGATATCCCTTGGTGTATGCTCTTTGCTGATGATGTGGTGCTAGTTGACGAGAGTAAGGCAGGGGTAAATAGGAAGTTTGAGCTGTGGAAGGACACGTTAGAGCCGAAAGGCTTCAGACTTAGTAGGACGAAGACCGAGTACATGACGTGCGCTTTCAGCA